TCTGACTCTTTGCAACCCCATGAACCGCAGCAAACCAGGCCTCCCTGTCCATCACCAACTCCCGGAGTCTACCCAAACCCATGTCCATCGAGTCAGTGATGCCATCCAGGCATCTCATCCTCTGTCGTCCCCTTCTCCTCCTGCCCCCAATCTCTCCAAGCATTAGGGTCTTTTCCAATGAGTCAACTCTTCACATGAAGTGGCCAAAGTACTGGAGTTTCAGCTTCAGCATCAATCCTTCCAATGAGCACCCAGGACTGATCTCATTAAATAATACATAAAAATTCTTACTGACTCATCTGAAGTTAGAATTCAGTTAAAATGCTCCCCAATACTACCTCTATTACCCAAGGGAAGGAGAGAAAAAAAACCACCTCAACCTCCAACCCAGACTTGACAAGTAAAAGAACTCCCTAAAAACAATGCATTGAATAAATCACAAGGACTAGTCTCACTTCAAGATTTCAGGAAGGAAAACACAGTTAAACTGAAAACTGTTAACTGGTGTTAAACACACACACACACACAACAAACAGACAGGAAGTGTTTTTTAGGACCATGTCTATCAAAGACCCTTAGGGGCTGATTCACCCTTCAGCATATTCTTTCTAACACCTGCTTTTACTAAAAACCAACAGCTCAACACCAGAGCTTTGTGAGTCAGAAGCAGAGTGAAACTGGACACAGAAGCACTCAGCCGTGGAGCACAACACCCAGAGAGCAAGCAATACGCACACTAAGTATGACTGGCCAGCGCCCTGCGGCCGGGGGCGGGGAGGGGGTGGTGGACCCTGGGGAAGCTGAGCAACATCACCTGAGATTTTCCTCTTGCCTTGTTCCTCTCTCTGGCCCATGCCTCTGCTTCCCCCACTCATCTACTAAATACATCTGGAAAAAAGTACTTGCATAACTCCCCATGTAAACTAATTCTACATTGTTTCAAGTTAAGACCTAAGGACCAATGCATATTTCTTTCTTGTGTGTTTTTAAAGAATATTAAAAGATACCACTTAGAAAACTCAAGAGATAGAGTATCAAGAGAAGAATTAGATATATCTTTTGATTTTAACCTGGTGTTAGATACTATTTTTGAATGCAATTCTACATTGACACGAAGAAAATGTACCTTTAAATTTCAAACAGCATCAACTTAGTTCTTTTCCTTTATCATACTTTTAAAAATAGGACTTGGTCACTACAGCTTATAGAGTCACAAAACATAGTCCACACAAAACCTGTACACAAAAATGGTCACTGCAGCATTATTTGTAATAGCCCCAAAATAGAAATAACCCTAACATCCATCAAATGATGAATGAATAAATAAAATGTGGTACCCCCATACAATGGAATATTATTTGGCAACAAACAGGAATGGAATACTGACATGCTACAATGTGGATGAATCTTGAAAACATCAAGCTAAGTGCAAGAAGCCAGATGCAAAAGACTACATATTGTATGGTTTTATTCATATGATCCAGGATAGGCAAATCTATAGAGACAGAAAGTAGATTAGTGGTTTTCAGGGGCTGGGGGAAATGGGGAGATTAGGGAGGCAATAATTAGGGGTACAGAGTTTTTTTTAGGGGTAATGAAAAATGTTTTAAGTTGACTTTGGTGATGAATACACAATTCCATGAACATCCTAAAAACCACTGAATGTACATTTTAAATGGGTGAATTGCACAGTATGAGAAATATATTTCAATAGAGCTGTTTCTTAAAAAGAAGACATGACACCATAAAGAAGACATCACACCATAAAACTCCTCGAAAAGAACATAGGTAAAACATTGTCTGACACAAATCATACCAATGGTTTCTTGGGTCAGTCTCCCAAGGCAATGGAAATAAGCAAAAATAAACAAATGGATCCTAATCAAACAGCAAAGGAAATAACAGACAAAACAAAAAGATGACCTAAGGACTGGAAGAAAATATTTGCAAATGACATGACCAACAACAGCCTAATTTCCAAAATATACAAACAACTCATACAACTCAGTAACAAAAAAACCCCAAACAACCCAACTGAAAAGTGGGCAAAAGACCTAAATAGATATTTCTCCAAAGAAAGCATGCTCACTGTCACTAATTATTAGACAAATGTAAATCAAAACTACAATGAGGTACCATCTCACACTGGTCAGAATGGCAATCATTAAAAAAATCTGCAAATAACAAATGCTGGAGAAGGTGTAGAGAAAAGGGAACCCTCTGACACTGTTGGTGGGAATGTAAATTAGTGCAAACACTACAGAAAATAGTATGCAGGTTCCTCTAAAAACTAAAAATAGAGTTGTCACATGATCCAGCAATTCCTTTCCTTGGCATATATCCAGACAAAAGTATAATTCAAAAATATACATGCACCCCTATGTTCATATCAGCACTATTCACAATAGCCAAGACACGAAAACAACCTAACTGTCTACCTAACTGTCTTTGGATGGATAAAGAAGATATACCATGTATATACAATGGAGTACTAGTCATAAAGAATAAAATAATGCTGTTTGCAACAACATGGATAAACCTAGAGATTATCACACTAAGTGAAATAAGTCAGAACGAGAAGGACAAATAACATACAGTATCACTTACATGTGAAATCTAAAATATAACACAAATGAACATATCTATGAAACAGAAAGACTCACAGATATAGAGAACAGACTTGTGGATGCCAAGAAGGGGGGGCATGGGTGAGGGAAGGACGGGGAGTTGGGATTAGCAGATGCAAACAATTATTAATATATACAGAGTATACAAATAACGAGGTCCTACTATATAGCACAGGAAACTATATTCAATATCCTATGATAAACCATGATGGAAAAGAATATGAAAAATAATACATATATGTATAACTGGATATATATATATATATATGTATAACCCATTTTGCTGTACAGAGAAGAAACTAACACAGCATTTTAAATCAACTATACTTCAATAAAATTTTTTTAAAAAGAGGACACAGAAAAAGTACTCCACAATCCCAAGTTAGTGACTGTGATTTCTGAGACTGCTGTATAAATCTATCAGTTTGAAACACCTAGAATTAATCTGTCCTCAAGGCTGTCCTGAGTGGCCTGAGGATAAGTGCCCTAAAGCAGTCCCACAGGACAAAGGACAGTTTTTCTTTCAAGGACCACAGTTTTAACTGTAATATTTTAAAACATTCAGATATTAGCAGGTACTTATTAGTGACCTGGTTTATAAAACAGCTGATCTTGACAACAATTTAGACTTGGGTTGTGTCAGTTTTACTAGAACTAGGCTGAGAAAGATTTACGCTTAGAGTTTGTCCGTTTGTTCCCCCTCAAACAGGTCACCAAACCTCCCAGGTGCAGAGGAAGATTTCAGATTTTTTAAATCAACCCTTTCCAATTTATGGAGGTTACTGGTTCTTCAGATGAACTACTGAACTACCCTGCATCAACTGGTACACATAATGATGCCCATAAGGCAAACAGTAATAAAGGCAAATTTTACCAGTGTGTGCCAACAGTTCAGGTTAAATAAAATATGAAAAGAGAAGTGTATTACAGATACACGTATGCAAATATAAATCATCTTCTACCCGTAGGTGGCCAGTCTAACTAAAAAAAAATAATTTTATTTATTTGGGGGGGGCTGTACTGGGTCTTCAGTGCAGGGCAGGCTTCTCTCTAGCTGCAGCGAGCAGGGGCCACCCTCTAGGGCACGCGGGCTTCAGTAGCTGCGGCACACAGGGCAATAGTTGTGGATCAGGGGCTTAGCTGCTCTGCCGCATATGGGATCTTCCCAGATCAGAGGTGGAACCCATGCCTCCTTCACTGGCAGGCGAATTCTTTGTCACTGAGCTATCAGGGAAGGCGCAGCCTAAGTTTCTGATAGCAGGCAAGAGCTTCAGAGACCTTGGGCTGCCACTCTGGCTTGTTACATTTTCGCTCTGAAAGTAATCTAATCTCTGAGTCCTGGCTTCCACATTCGAAACAAATGAATTGTATCACTTATTTGACCGAGTTTGCAGGGAGACTGAATAAGCTGTAAACCGTGGGGCATAGTGCCTAACACACAGAGGCTTGAGGCAAAGCTGGCGCGGATTGCGGTGAAGGTCGAGGGAACATCAAGTTCCTCGCAAAGACTTGTGACACCAAAAGGGAAGATGTCCCGGGACTCTTGCCGGGCAGGGCCCCGAAGGGGCTGCAGCTCAGGGAAGGACACCACCGTACCTAGCAAATGCTGAAAATCAAGGAAGGCCTTTGCGAGACCCCATCAGAACGCCAAGAGGGGGGGTAGCAGTCCTCAACGTTACAGACAGAAAGTATACTTATCACCAAATATAAAACTTAGAATTACTGCCTGCTGGGGACAAATCTCACAAATGGAGGTAAAATAGAACAGAAACAATCTCTACTCCAACTGCTCAGATTACAACACTAATGGTGGTTTTTAGGACAGATAAACTAGAGCTGTGAAATTACCCAATGTGGGATCGGGGGGAGACCAGGGGGAGAAGCCCTCTGTGGGGGCAACAAGGTCAGGGTGAGGAGAAAGAAACCCTGGGCCTTCCTGGCCCAGGGGTGTCTCTCCAGCAGTGCAGGAACAACCTGTCCAGTGAGCAGCTGCAAAAAGGACCACAAAGTCCATGCAGAGAACACCGAGTATTTCCAACTTACCACACACTTGCCGAATTAAAGGGACAGCCTGGGTGGGTACCATCTCCCAGGATGACAAAAGGGACAGGCCCAAGGAGCATAAGTGAAGGGGTACCACACTCCCAGTGCAGAGGATGACCACCTGGCCCTCCATTCCCTTATATTCCAGTAACATTCCAGTAATATTTCTGGTTTCACTGCTATTGCTTTTCTGTTTTTATAAACAAACTGTGAAAATCAACAAACTAACTCCAAATCAAACAAGTGTGGTCTATACCAATCCTATATAACAACAACAACCAATAATGTGGAACAAATAAGAGAAAAACTCTGGTCAAGCTGGAAGCTCACCCATGGCTGGTGGCTGGCATTCTTGTCTTCAGGAGGAGGGAGTCCATTTTCTTGTTTGCTGCCCAGCCTCGTCACTGCCTGCAGTGCAGGGAAGCCCAGGGCCTACCGCCATCTGCAGGCAAAACAGAAAAAAACACAAGTTACGGCTCAAATCACCCACCTGAAGCCCTCCTGCCTGGGCTGAAACACCTGGGTCCTGTCCAGGTGCAAGAAACAGAACTCACTCAGTTCTGCATCTGGGATCCCACCACAGAGCTGAGACATGGTAAAAATTCTAAACAATCAAGGGCTCAAGTACATCTTAACAATATCAGCAAACCCTTATATGGGGCTCACCATGTGCCAGACATTGCTCTGAATGCCTTATATTTATTAGCTCATTTAATCCTCATAAAAATTAGGTGGATGTTTTAGGAGGTCTCTGCCAATTTGCCTGATTATTGAGTTAAGCTGAATAACTAAAATGAAAAACTTGGTAATACCTGATTTCAAAGAAAGGTCAGATAAAACTCTGGGACAGATTCTGAACATCCCCAAGATCATCCATCCCCTGAATATTTATCAAATGCCTGTTATGGAGCAGACACTGCTCTAGGACCTGGGAATAACGGCATGAACGCAAAGGACAAAGTCCCTGCTCTCACAGAAATTCCATTCTGGTGGAGGGAAGCCACAATAGAGGACGTGATAAATGTTGTACAGAAGAAAAAAGCAGGGTAAAGGGGATAGAGGGTGATGACCATGCTGCTAATATTCATTCATTTATTCATTCATTTCCAAGTGCTTACTGACCATTCACCACAAGCAGACTCTGTACTGAGATGCACTGATGGGATGAAAATAGACGTGGCCCCTGACTGTAAGGGTTACTTACTCATACTGGAGACGCATATGACCACCTAAGTAAAAGCAAAGATGTTAACCTGTAGAAGGTGTGATAGCAGAACAGCGCGGGTCCCAGTGAGAGCATCTTAGGGAGCTCAGGAACCTGGGATGGAGTGGGAGAAGGAGAAGCACCCTTGGTAAAAAGCAGACCATGTGCAAAGGCTGGATCACAGACAGCAGGGCAGAGGCAGAGTGGGGAGATGGGGGATGGAAGGAGTGAGGAGGGCTGTGGCCCTTGCTCGGCACTTCCAGCCACAGGAGGTCCTTACCCCTTGAGGGAGCACCGCACCAGGGCCTCAGGCAGAGAAGTAACATGGTTGGATGAGTGTGTTTTTAAACGATTACATTATGTGGTAGACTGAATAATGGTCTAATGGTCTCGCCAAAGAAGTCAATATCTAAATCCCCGGAAGCTATGACTATATTGCCTTACAAAGGCAAAAAGAGCACTGGAGATATGATTAAGGATCTCAAGATGGGGAGATTGTCCAGGTGGACCCAATGGAATCACAAGTGTCCCTGTAAGAGGGAGGCAAAGTGAGATTCAGAAGATGAGCGTCAGAGTGTTGCAGCATGAGAAACACTTGTTAGTTTAGAGGTGGAGGAAGGGTCTATGAGCCAAGGAATGCAGGAAGCCGCCAGAAGCTGGAAAAGTCAACAGAGTGATTCTCCTCCAGGAGCTCCAGAAGGAAAAGGACACTTCTGAAAACTGCAATGGTAACATAATACATTTGGATTGTTAAAAGCTACTAATTTTGTGTTCATTTGTTATAGCAACAATACACTACTACACATTGGCTTCTGTAAAACACAGATTATAAGTAAGGGAAAGTGGAGGCAGGGACCAGCTGGAGGTCACTGTGTCCCCCAGACAAGAGATGGGAGAGCCTGAACAACAGCAGTGGCAGAGAGGTGAAGAGGAGCAGGAGGACCCCAGGAGGGGAGGTATTGGCCAGTCAAGTTCCAGACATCACTGGAATGCTGAAGCAGGCTTTCTTTAGGCTCAGGACCTGCCCAGCTCACCCTAGGCAGAGAACACCACCTTCTGCAGAAGGAGGAAGTTTGCACAGGGCTGTAAGACCACCTCCAGACACAGACACCATTTGTTCAACTGACAGGGACCTGCCAACCCCTTTCCCACAAAGAAGTCCAGGGACTTCCAGGAATATGCTCTAAGAAGTAACAACCTAGGAATTTCTACCAGGAAAAATGTAGCAAGTGTTCTGGCCAAGCATGAGGCCTTGCTGTGAACCTTTTTTTTCTTCCTAAGAGAGATTTTGTAATCCTGGAAAGGAGGCATCCGAAATTTAAATATACATATCTTAAACCCATGTGAAACAGAAACATGGTTTTACCCAACATGTAGAAATTTCATGGTCAGTAGAATAATGCAGAAATTACAGAAAGAGAATAAAGGAGAAACTAGGACACCCTCTCTCACCATCTCCTCCATTCCTATCTAATGATTCAGACCTGCTAAGAAAGTGGGATTCTAATCTGGCCCAACCTAATAGGGCTACTGAGAAGAAGAGGCAATAAAAATTATTTCAGGGAATTTTAGATATATCCTGTTTTACTCCAAAAGTATAAATATAGACACATTAAGAATACCTTGGAGGACACTGAGTGGTAACCAGAAGTCTCGTCAACCTCCTGTGGCTCTGCAGACCACAGAGACTGGGCTGAATTCTGGGAGCATACATACAAGGACGCAGGAGTGCCTACAGACGCCAAAATACCAGGCAGTCCTGAATGTTCAAATGGGTTCATTTTAAAACAGTTATTTGCATAAACTGTTTTTCTGTTGACAAAAGTGACATGTTTATTAGTGGAAAAAACAAAAATTTCCTGTAGTCCCAATGGTTCAGAGGTAACTTATTTGTAAATATTTCTTCTAATAATTTTTGCGATTCTCACACACAGACATACATACAAACATACACTTTCTAACAATATTAGGATACTGTGCATATTTTTCTTTTGCAACCAGCTTTGTTTTATCTAATAGTATACAATTTTTCCATGTCATTAAATACACTTTTAATAGTTGGCACTATTCTATCACTATTTTTCCGTGGTATCAAAATCTCTTAATTAATCCCTAACTGCTGGACAACTGACTGGTTTCTAATTTCATGATAACAGAAGTCAGACTGGAAGGAACAGCCCCATCTATAAGAAAACCTCCTCACTTAAAATCTGTGTGTGAAACTCAGATTATTTTTCAGGGTTGTGTTTCACACCTTTCAGCCATCCATATATCACTATTATTATTTTCCCATAATTAAATGTCATATATACTGTACTTAACATTTCTCTTTAAATCAACTCATTTCTACCCTTAAATAAATGTTTTAAAAGCAAACCTTATATACTACTGTAAATGGAAAGCCAGCATTAAATGCCATAAATGAAGGCAGTCATAAGACTAAGTACAATGGAAAACACAATGGTGTCATGAAAATATAGTTATATTGCTATCGCTTTGCTCATCCTTTCATATCAAGTGGGAGATTAGGAAGGCTTAACATGGTGTTAAAGACATACTCGTACCAAGCTGAGATTTTTCTCCTTCCCGTGATCAGAAGACTGGAAAGGAATCAACCAGAGGAATAACTTTCTCACCATGGGAGTCAGTGTTACATAATGCTGCAAATATACCCCTCCTAGAATTATACCCTGTACTACCTGAAAAAAGCTCAAAGGCAAACGTGTTTTAGGATACATGCTGAAAGTAGAATTACTGGGATAAAAACATATGGACACTTTAAGAAGATTTTGATAAACTCCATCCAAGTCAGTTTTACCATAGTTTTACTATTAGAGTGCCTGATTTACTTCACCCTCAAATACTGTCATAAACAAAAATGTTCAGCTTTGTAGTATAAGATATTCAGCAGCTGAATTTTTCAAAGCTATTTTCATATTCCTCTGGCCAGTTTCTGACGCAGGGGGGAAGGCAATTATATAAACTTTCAGCTAGTGATATTGCAAAACTGATATTGCACTTGGTTTAACCAAGCTAAAGTAAACTCAGTAAAATATGAGGAAGTGACTTTAGCATTTGCAAATAGTTTAGAATGCTTTTGTTCTGGCAAAGGTCAAATGAGGATCAGAATAGCATGGATTCCACATAATACTTTTGAGAAATAAAGAGACCCAGAGAGGCACTACTCTTGAGACACAAATCACTAAAAATTTTCAGTATGTCAATCAAAACTCTAAAATAAATATATGTTCAAGCCTTCCTATCTTGGTGTGATAGGTAATTGCAAATATGTTACAAATTAATGCAATTCTTAAGAGAAGACTTCTAAAATAGAAAAATAAAAATGTATTTTGAAGCATGAAGAATTAATAAGAAGCTTCCAGATTATTTCAATAATTCTCAGGCAGACACACACATGTGCATGTGCCTGTGGGAGAAGAAGAGAATTAAAAACATGCTAAAATGTTTCTTATGTTTGGGATGAAATTGGAGATTTTAATTAATTTTTAGCATTTGTAGGAAAATGTTTACCTATGCTTAGGGCTCCTAATAGGATACAGAATTCCAAGTCACTGAATGAAATTAAGGAAGGAAAGAATGGAGCCAAAGACACCTTGATGATTTCAGATGTCATAAGAAAAAAGAAACAATATATAAATAACACAACTCAATAACAAATACAATCAAATTTTCCAAACAGATATGAACAGACATTACTCCAAAGAAGATATACAAATGGTTAATAAGCACATTAAAAGATGCTCAATATCATTAGTCATCCAGGAAGTGCAAATTAAAACCACAACGAGCTAGAAATTTACACCTGCCAGGATGGCTATAATAAAAAATATACACAAGTGTTGGTGAGGATGTAGACAAATTGAAACACTCATGCACTGCTGGTAAGAATGTAAAATGTTGCAGCTACTTGGGAAAAGTATGGCAGCATGGCAGCCCACTCCAGTATTCTTGCCTGGAGAATCCCATGGGCAGAAGAGCCTAGCAGGCTACAGTCCATATGGTCACAGACAGCCAGACACGACTGAAGTGACTTTGCATGCATGAACTGGAAGTTTAAACACAGACACACCATATGATCCAGCAATTCCACTTTTATTAATAGGTATATACCCAAGAGAAGTTAAAATATATGCTTACACAAAAATTTGTACGTGAGTGTTCACGGAAACATTATCGTAATAGCCAGAAAGCAAAAACAATCTAAATGTCCATCAACTGATAAATGGATAAACAAAATGCAGTATAGCCACAGGATGGAATATACTGGGCAATAAAAAGGAACAAATTACTGATACATGCTATAATGTGGATAAACCTCCAAAAGATTACTCTAAGTGTACAAAGCCAGTCACAACAAACCACATATTATACAATCTCATTTATACAAAATGCCTGAAAAAGGCAAGTATATAGAGGCAGAAAGTAGATTAGTGCTTGCCTAAGGCTGGAGAGGGGAATATTAAGGGCTGCTGGAGAGTGATTACTAATGAAGTAATACAAATGTTCTAAAATTAGATTATGGAGATAGTTACACCTCCTGCAAATATATTATAAACCACTGAACTGTATCCTTTTAATGGGTGGATTTTATGGTATGTAAATTATATCTTAATAAAGGTGCTAATAATAATAATAAATGAAGACCATAAATAAAGTTAACAGATGGGTGACCAGACTAGGGGATGATTTATAACACTGCCATTCCATGAAGGATTATTTATAACACTGCCATTCCATGAAGGATTAACATTTTAGTGAGCATACCAATATATAAGGATCAAAATGAAAACCAGACAGAAAAATATCAGAAACCTAAAGGAAGAGCAAACGAGACAAATAGGCAATTCACAAGTGGCAGAACAATATGTGGTGCTCAACTAAAACAGAAATGGAGTTCTGCTTTAACTTAGTAGTTTGACAAAAAATTAGTAAATTAGATAATAGTAAGTGCTGGCAGATGATGGGAAAGGGACCCTTCACGCACTCCTGATGGGAGAAAACTGATGAAGCCATTCTGCAGCACAAAGCAGCAGTTTTTAGTAAATGACATCATACAAGTATTCCAAAATTAACAATCTATCTACCCATCTATCTATCTCAGAGAAGTTCTTGCTGGAGAACACATGGCTTTCTGGTGCAGCACTGTTTGTGGAAGCAAGGAGATGAAGATCACCTAATGTCTATTCCCAGGAGACTAGTTAAAAACTTGTGTACACTCTTGACAGAAAAGTACAAAACAGCCAGGAATAATGAACTAGACTCACACATATCAAGATGGTTTGACTTAAAAACATGATGCTGAGGGAAAAAAAGAAACAGTATGAGGGAATTATAGCAGTCCAGTGGTTAGGACTCCTGGTTCTCACTGCCAAGGGTCTGGGTTTGATTCTTGGGAAGTAAAATCCCACAAGCCACACAATGTGGCCAAAAAAAAAAAAAGAGAGAGAAGCAAACAGTATGAGATTTATAGCACGATGGCTTTTATTCAGATAAAAGCAAAGCATAACATACCTTCCAAAGACACACATTTTCTGAGAAGATATAAGGAAAGATATAAGAACAAATATGTCACCATGACTGCTCAAGTATGCAAGCATGGGAGGGAGGGTGTTGAGAAATAGAAGATAAAAAGAGGAAATAAAATAAAACAAAATGACTCTAAACAGACCAAGGATTAGAGTGTGCCATTAACTGAAGAGTATGAGCAATTTAGTTCTGAAATCCTGACATCCAACGGAAAATAAAATCCCACGCATTATTTTCTTCTGAAAAACATAATAAAGTTCATCACATGCTAAACTAATGAATAATAAAGCCAGGAGAAAAGAAGGCACTGGGGAAGACAGAGGCTTGCCTGATCTTTAGTGGAGTCATTCAGTTTTCACCATCATGGAAGCAAGAACCTGGCAGGGTGAAAATGCTGTGGATGGTGTCCACTACAACCCTCTCCCTCTCCACCCACAGACAGAAGAGGAAAGGGAGAGAACCATGCATTACAGCTTAAATTTAGTTAACAGGAGAGAGAGAGAAGAGAGAGACATTATGGAATTATGAAGAAAAGGAACAGCTTGTTGAAAGTACACTGCAAAAATCAAAGAATCTGATCCTCTGGCTCATGATAAAGGTGGTATTTTCTAAAAACAGTGAATTTTCACCACCATCCTGAAGCATAGTACAAAAGAGGAACTCCATGTTTTAAAAATTAGGAAGGACCTATATCTTTGGTTATGGCTGTTTTCAAAGTTAAGGTTATTCAAGTTTTCTTTCAGTAATAGGTGTTATGATCAGGTACATGTGATTAGACTAAAATTGAGTAAAATGGGGTGGTGTTCTTGGTATTGCCTACAGAAACCATCATCACTCAAATGTTAAATCAAGTGCCTGCAGATTTAATCACTTTACTCCTAACATTTAGTGTCTTCCCTCATCCACACAACTGGTTTTGCATATATATTTTCTCTTGCCAGGGAATGGGGGGCACCCAAAAGCAGAGACTGTCCCAACAGCCTTGAGGAGGAGCCCAATTCTGAGCGGGCATACAAGACCTGGGCGTTCATCTTTCACCCTTCTGCTGGCGGACTCTGCACAGAAAGCGTCCTGTCTGGGATCTACTGAGTTTCAGTGCACCCACCCCTGACCGTTTCTGCCAGCCATGGATAGGGGCTCCTGTAGAGTCAGCCCGTTTTCACCTGGACAGAGCCTTGGGAAGCGGGTGGCATCCTGGCCTAGCTCCTCTCCATACCTACGACCAAGAGACTAGTCGCAAGCTTGGAGGGCATCCCAAGTGCCTGCAAGTGCACCAGATCTGAAAAGCTTAGCCAAACAAGCGAGGTTTGGGGCTGCGTGCGGAAACAGAGGAGTTTGATAGGTAAGAAGGGGTAAATTATGAATTCCTCCCTGCTGGGCTCAGGTGAGACACTTTTCTCAGCATTTTATATACATCCTCCCACTTTGATTTTTATCGAAACTCGGTGGGGGTGGGGGTGGGGCGGGACGGGGAATGGTCGGGGCGGCATTCTACAGAAAAGAAAATGTGTGCTGGGAGGGGTGGCCTGGCTTGCACCCGCCCCACCTCGACCTCAAGCTGCCAGGTCCTTGGCACGTTAGTCCGAGACTCGCCCAGGTCTTCCAGCCCGGCCTGGAGGACCAGAGCCCCGAAAGCCCCAGTAGTGCCGCATCTCAAGCCCTCCCAACCCCGCGGCAGGAACCCCTAGCCGGGCCTGCGAGCGTCCAACGGCCGCCTGGCGTCCCGCCCGCGCGGTCCGCAAGGAGGAGCCCGCGAGGCGACCGCGAAAGGGGCTGCGCTTACCTCGCCGGGTGCGGGCTGAGGCTCCGGCTCGCCGGCTCCAGGCTGGGCGCCCCGCACGGTGCGCCCCTCGCCCCGACGGCTGCCACGCAGGCTCTGGACACTGCCACTTTCATTTTCCTCAACGCTCTCGGCAAGAAAGCGAAAGCGAAAACGGCCGAGAGGCGGGCCCGAGTGCGCGGAGAACGCGGAGCGCGGGCCGGCAGCCAGAGGCTGGGGCTCCAGGCCTCGGGTCTGCGCTCGGCGGTCCCGGCGGCGTCCCGGCTGGAGCCGCGTCCACCTGCGACGCTAAGCCAGCCCTTGGCGCACGTCGCGGCGGCGCAGCGTTCCCTCGCCCGCTACGCGGCCCGCGGCGCCTCGGTCCCCTGGCGCCGTTTCCCTCATCTGCCTTTCGTTGTTCAGCGCCCGCCGGGGCCTCGCGGCTGCAGGCCGACCCGAAACCTGACTGCCCGCGGCGCTTCGTGGCTTTCTGGCCTGAGCAGGCGGGTGCCGGCCCGGGTGGCCGGGAGCACGTCACTGAGGGGTCCCCGTCGGAGGCGCTGAGGAAACTGGGGCGGGTTTCGCTCGCAGACCCCAGTGGTCCGGCGCTCCCCAGCCCAGACATGCGCACTGGTCCCTCGGCCGAGCTGGGGGCACCAGCAAGGCTACAGCCGGGTCCTGACCGTGAGGTACCAGGCTCTTCATCCTGGGTCAGCGGAGAACTAAAAGTCAGTGATGCCTGTGAGATGAGGGACGCTTCGTTTGATAAGGAAAACTGAAACTGCAAGTTTAAGGTTTGGACCCCCTGGCCTAAGTGGTGCCCATCAATACCCGAGGGTTTAGAGATTCCAGGTTCGATCAAGCACAGATTCTGGCACTTTTTGGCTGTGTGATTTAGAGCAAAATATTTACTCCTTTTAGCCTTAGTTTATTCTCCTGTAGGATGCGGATAAAAACCATACCTACCTCAGGGTTGTGGGAATTAAATTAAATGATATAAGGGAGAAAATACTTGGTATTTTCTATTAGGCTCTAGGTGGGTTCTGTGAGGGCAGTGATCAAGTTGTTTTTCTGGATGCTTGATAGACATTCTCTAATGGTCAGCTGAAAAGCGATAGTTTTCAAAGTTTGAACCGTGTTACCTTGACTTAGAAGAACTGAGGGGCAGGGGGAACACTGCAGTCTTTTTGGAGGGCCCCTCACACTGAGCCTGACAATTAGCCCCTGTAATTATGCCACTGCTCCAAAATTTGACAGAAGTCTCTACAGCTTTGTCCAGCATCAGCCACTGACATCTGAAAGATACTTCTGTAGGCATTCCATAGAAACCAAAAAACACTGTCAAGACTCCATATTCTAAACACAATTTACCATGGGTTTGTTTGGTGTTTTTTTTTTTTATCACAGAGTGGTCTGATAACTGGAACAGAAAAACAAAACAAACCGCTTAATCTGCCAGAGTCACTTTGGTTTGCCTGTGTGTAATTTAGGCACGTTCCCTACACGATGGAGGTCTTCATCTGTGACTGATGTTGTGGCTTTTTATGTGTCCTGGCAGTGTTTCCCTCAAGAGCAGGTGGGGAACGGGGACAGGCCAAATGATGACCTTAGAAAAACACATGTCCGCCTCCGGAAGATGATGCTTTTGGTATGTAGTATGCAGCAAAAAAAAAAAAAAAAATCAAAACAGCATCAGAACCTCTCCCTTGTTAAAGGGCGATGATTCTTGACTCTGTAACAGCAAAGTAGACCTAAATCTGCTTCTGCATAAGAAATATATCTGGGAGATAGAGGGCAGGGAAAAGACAAGAAAAGACACTAGGAGATAAAGTCAAATCCTGGTTACCTTTTATAGATGTTACCCATGGGAACAGGGAGGTGCCAGGAGGTGAGGGCTAGCCTGGAGTCTTGGTGATTTCCCAAGGTCTAGATTTGGTCCTTGACCTTGTGGGATCAAAACTTTCATCTTTTCAGTGTTCCAACTTTGGTTAAAAATCAGCAAAGTATAAAATCAGAATGCAAACTTACTGATTTCATTAACTATTTGCTAGACACTTATGTTAAGTTCAGTTCAGTTCAGTCTCTCAGTCATGTCTGACTCTGCAACCCCATGAACTGCAGCACGCCAGGCCCCCCTGTCCATCACCAACTCCCAGAGCCACCCAAACCCATGTCCACTGAGTTGGTGATGCCATCCAACCATCTCATCCTCTGTCATCACCTTCTCCTCCTGCCCTCAATCTTTCCCAGCATCAGGGTCTTTTCAAATGAGTCAGCTGTCCGCATCAGGTGGCCAAAGTATTGGAGTTGCAGCTTCAACATCGGTCCTTCCAATGAACACCCAGGACTGATCTCCTTCAGGATGGACTGGTTGGATCTCCTTGCAGTCCAAGGGACTCTCAAGAGTCTGCAAACACCACAGTTCAAAAGCATCAATTCTTCTGCACTCAGCTTTCTTTATAGTCCAAATCTCACATCCATACATGACAACTGGAAAAACCATAGCCTTGATGAGACAGACCTTTGTTGGCAAAGTATTGTCTCTGCTTTTTAATATGCTGTTTAGGTTGGTCATAACTT